AGCATAGGACCAGGCTACATAGAGAAATTATGCAATTTCCATCCTTGGAAGTGTTCAAGAGCAGGTTAGGGAGATGGTTTAGTCAGGGATGCTCCTCTCTTGAGCAGGGGGTTGGAGTAGAATCTAGTCAACAGATTAACCTGCGAGGTTTTTTCCAGTCCTACTTTCTTCTGCTCTGCAAATGCTTAAGCCTGGGCCTAACTCAAATTAAAAAGGGAAGAACCACGTGATTCAACAGGACTGTTTATGAGAGCAAAGTTGCACACAAGCTTAAATGCTTGCAGAAAAGAACCTTATTTTTTCTGTTCCTCAAAAGGTTAGAAGCTATATATACTTGAGGTATATATACTTGAGGTATCTTTCTTAATTGTATCCTACTTAGAATTGATGACAATCCTGAACACTTACATTAGTTAAATTTCTACCTTCCTTCTCCAACTCATATGTCCAGTTGCATGTTACAGTACAACTGAACTACACTGATGCCAATATTAGTTTGAAGACAGCTAGCTAGTTTTCAGAAAAATGACCTACTTGGGATTTTTGTCTGCTTGGAGAAACCACATACATTAATCAGCCTATTTTAGTTGCAGTATTTTTTGGCCTAGTGGCCAAACAGGAAACTGGGTTCAAGTTTAACTGAAACCAGAATTTTTTTGGGGGGGTTTCAGCAAAATTGAAAATGTGTAGAATCAACTTTGAAATATTTTGTTTAAATTGTTGTTTTTTAGTTTGGGTCAATGTAAATGAAAAATTGTTTAAAAAATAGGTCAGCGTGTTTTGTTTATTTTCCCCCTCTTCCCTCCCCCTCCCCCCCTCTGAGAATATTGACATTTTCATAGTTTCATAGATAGTTTCATAGATTTAGGGTCGGAAGGGACCTAGTAGATCTTCTAGCCTGACCCCCCGCCAAGGCGGGAGAACAACAAAACCCCAGAACAAAAACGGGACTCAAATGAGTCCAGCCAGGTAGGCATCCAGCCCCTTCTTAAAGACCCCCAGGGTAGGGGCCAGCACCACTTCCATTGGAAGTTGGTTCCAGCTCCTAGCCACCCTAACTGTGAAGTAGTTTTTGTGGATGTCCAATCTATACCTCCTCTCCATCAACTTGTGCCCATTACTCCTTGTTATGCCAGCGGGCGCTAGGGGAAACAGCGTCTCCCCCAATTTTGTTTTGAAAGCTTTTTCTTCTCTTTTTCAGTTGAAACTACTTGTTAATTTGACCTAAATATGTAAATATTTTTTGTTCCCCTGAAATTCCTCTTTTCAGCAAATACGTTTGGGGTTGAGAGAGGCCACACCCAGTTCTAGGTATCATTTGAATATTACAGGGATTGCAGAGACTTTGACTCCACTTGTTTTTTAGTATGTCATGTTCCAGCCAAGCTTTGTAGTTACATAGGGCAAATAATATCACACCAGTATAAATCTGGGATCTGTGCAATGGAGTAAATGGAATTACTTCTCTAGATTCACATGCATGAGAAAAGAAGGACAGTAGATGCCTCTAACAACACAGTTCGATGTTACACATTCATTCCAACTGTGAGCATGCCATGGTGGCTATTGGGGCAAATAGAAGGCAGGCTAGATTTGCACCTTACAGACTAACTAAAGTACATGTATAATATAAGCTTTCTTGAGCTGAAGCTTACTTCATCGGATGCTGTGAAAGGATGTACACATAGCTATGCATAAGGAGAGGAAAAAATTGAATACAAAAGCAGAAGGGGGGCAAGGAGTGGGTAGGGAGGGAGTGTCAGCAGAAGGAAATCTGCAAGCAATAAAGGGGTCATAAAAGCTACTATGGGTAATGGGATAAGAATCCATTGTCCTTTTTTAAAACATACTTAACATAATCCAGTCTGTGGATGATTTCTTGTTCCTCAGTTTCCTGTACAAGTCAGTTTGTAAAGGCTTGCTGCCTGAAAACGGCCACCCTCAGGTCAGAGATGGAGTGTCCTGGGAGGTTAAAATTGTTCTGCCAGAGGCCTGTGCGTCTTCCTGCAATTGATGTCAGAACAATATTCATTAAGGCAAATGTCTGCTTCTATTTTGTTGTAATTAGCTTGCAGATCTTGTAACTTGCCTTCGTGGAGGGGTAATGCTATTAAAATGTCATTTAATTATCTGTTAAACGAGTATGTCTTCAGACGAGCTTGATGCTAAAATTATCTACTAGACTACAAAACCCCCTTGGCAAATGTCATCAGGCCAAAGAAGGCAAGAGGAAAAAAAAATCCTACTTTCTACTCTCAGATCCATATCTTGTTTAAAGCCTGGTTACCGGGGAAAAAAGGGAAATTCTTCGGGACTTTTTTAGGAAATGGAAGGGAAACTTTATTGTGTCTGTGACAAACTGCTGTCATCAGATGGCAATCTAGTCAAAAGACTTAATACTGTCTTTTTTGGATACAGTCTCTGTTTCATAATGTCTGACAGGAAGCATGCAGTAGTCACTTTGAGATTTTCTACTCTTTTAACATGCTGACCAAGTTTTACTGAGAGAAGGGCAAAATACTGGCTTCAGTTTTTCTTTTGCTGGACACTTGTCCCTTAACGAACTGGGTGACAGGTCTGGTTGCACTGAGTCTACTGTAAATGTGTCTGCATTTTCTCTTGTGCCAGGTCTGAGCGCTCACGCAGGTTCTTGGAGAGAGTCTAGGACCTTCATCTAACCCAGGAGGTGCACAGCCCCACCAGGGGGGATGCCTTGTTGGACTTGGTGTTGGCCACGGGCGACAACCTGGTGAGGGGGCTGCGGGTGCTTGACCCCCTGGGCGACAGTGACCGCTGCCTGCTAGAATTCACCATTCAGCGCAAGGTAGCAAAGGCAAGCAGTCAGGTGGTGGCCCTAGATTTTAGGAGGGCGAACTTCAATGAGCTAAGGAGGATAGTTGGAGAAG